TTTTTTTTTTTTTCTTTTTTTATTGTATTTTATTTTTTAGCTTCCTCAGTGGTAGAAAAGCTTCCTCTTTAATCATAAGGAAGCCTGTCCATGCTATAAAAATTACATAGGAACCAATATGCCTTCTGTGTTAAACTGACACTATTTCCATATTTATCAATCTCATGGAGCTAAAGTACATTAAAGGAACATTCTTTAGAGCAGAATAGATTATATTACTTTCATCACATTTCACCCCATTGTCAATGAACTCACTGAAGACAGGAATTGTCTCTAATTCATCTGTGTGCCCCCAACCGTGCCTGGCATAGTACCAAATGGGGGCTCAAAAAGTATTTGTTGACTTGAATTAAATTATGTATTCTGCTGCATAATAAATACAAATCTGTACTACATCGAAGGTTCATAATGTGAGGATTGGCAAAACCTGAACATGATTTCTCCTGGCTCCCTTTCCTGTCAGTACCTGCCTCTTAAAATTATAAGTATTCAATATAGAGATTACATACTATTATATACTCATATCTTGGTCAACCATTTTGAAACACATTGTTGCTTCTGATGCTTCTTGAAGATTAACCCTAGTCCTATGTAAAATTCTACCAACTTGTCTCTATTTCACTGATCAATCACTAACAGTAAGAGAAAGCAGTAGCTGGGAATCCAGATCTAAGGAAAGAAGAAAAAAAAAGAAAAGAAAAAAAAAAAGAAATCAGTAGGATTTTACAGTTTAACTGGTCAGTTCTGTTATGTGTTCTATTGATTGAAGTGGTAGAAATAGTATATGTTCCTTCTTTCAGCAAGGAAATTACAACTCAGGCTATTGGAAAAGAACTATTCATTATTAAATTCATTCTTGTCCTAAAGCAGTTACAATGGGAATATATTTCCTTATTTAATTCTTATCTTGGACAAAAGACATATAATTTTCTATAGTTGAGACAGTTGCTAAATGTGTGACCTGTACATTGTCGTAGTAGTAATCTCAGCCATGAACTCAGATTTGTCACTACTATTCAATAATGATTAGAGCTAAGGCATTATACAACAGATCACTCAAGTGAAAGGGGGATAAATGCCAGCTCTGTCTTCCTTCAGAATGTAAAAAGGCTCCTGCAGAACCCCAAAGTGACAGAGTTTGATGCTGCCCGCCTGGTGATGCTTTATGCTTTACATTATGAGCGACACAGCAGCAATAGCCTGCCAGGACTAATGATGGACCTCAGGAATAAAGGTGTTTCTGAGAAGTATCGAAAGGTAACTGAATTTACATATTAAACCCACCAAATGGGAACCAACTCTATTATTATAGTCTTAGCTCTAACAAATGTTAAATTATACTCCTTTTATTTACAGAAATATGTAATTCTTAATTCTTTCTTCTTATGTCTTCATTTCCTTAATAAAGCTATTTTCTTATGAAATGAACTTCCTGATCCCTAAGCAATAAAAGTTGCTTTTCTTTTTTTTATAGCTCGTGTCTGCAGTTGTTGAATATGGTGGTAAACGAGTCAGAGGAAGTGACCTCTTCAGCCCCAAAGATGCTGTGGCTATCACTAAACAGTTCCTCAAAGGATTGAAGGTATAGACATCTCTCCTATACTTTCCTAAGTGAGAAACAGTTGAAACCCCTGAGAGTGAATGAATATGATCTTCAAAGTATCTTCAAGATTGCTACTGATTTAGTACTATGTCAATTAAATGAAATTAAAGCAGACATCCTCTTGAAAGCTGTTTCTTTTAGTGCTTTCTATATTGGAGCGGTATCAGCATTGGACCAAATAGCTGAGCAGAAAATAACTGGAGATATTTCTAGGAAATACTCAAGAGTAAAAAGACAAACAATTCTTTTAGTCACAGCTATTTTACTCCATTTGTTTATAATTTAAAATTTGGTAGGCAGTTTCTCTTTGAAGGAAATTGAAGATGAAGCAAACATTTGTTGATCTTTTAAAAATACTAACCTGTTTTCTTGAAATGGTCAAAAATTAATTTTAATATGATACCCTTTCTTATGTTTCCTGAAGTTTTTCTGTTTTCCTGGGTGTTTCCAATCTCCTTTTATATGTGATCTTTTCCTTTTATTTGATCTATCTATCACTTAACATTTCCACAAAAGAATGAGAATCGGTGAAGACAATGATTCCTTCAGTGAAGACAAAGGATT